GTCCACGAGCAGCTTGTTCAGGTGGGCCATGTCGGTCACGGGGAGGTACTTGGGGTCGCCGATCCCGATCCCTTGAGCGAAGTGGCTGAAGATGTTCGGTTTCGCAAATAAAAGCTCGTCACCGAGTTCCTGCAGGTGAGACAAGGCGCTTCTGTCGTTTGCCTCCGTGGACACGCCGTGGGCAAGCCGTGGGCACACCGTGGGCATGCTGTGGGCACACCATGGACACGCCGTGGGCAAGCCGTGGACATGCCATGGGCAAGCTGTGGGCACAGCAGCCGGTGCCCCAGGAGGCCAGGCCAGGTATCCAGGGGCCCACACCGTGTTCCCAGGGGCCTGCGGACAGCTGAGGGGGAGCCCCTGGGGGGACGGTCTGTCCCCATCCATGAAGAACAAACTGGTCCCCCGGACCTCAGGGCCCCCAGGGCCCCCCAGCAGAGGAGCTGGGCCCAGGCAGGCCTTTCTCCTCCCAAGTGGACGGAGGGGGTCGTTCAAGTTCTCGCTTCAATGCACACCCGCGTGCGAGTAGTCTCGTGGGAGCCAGCGTGGTCCTCCCTGCCCACCGAGGGCTGCCCAGGAGGGTGTGGGCATCACCGGCCCCGGGGAGCCTGCCCACCGGAGCGTCCGGGCTCCGCAGAGGGACGGCGGCTAGACTTACGTCAAAGAATTTCTTGGTGGACGCGATGGTGACTCGGCGCAACGTGTCCTGGTCTTTCTCGTCCACCATCTTGTCGCCGTACACGCGTTCAGCCTCGTGCAGCCAGAGGCGGACCAGGTCCAGCGGGGTCTTCAGGATCTCGGTTGTGGAGAACAAGATACCCTGCCCCCCCACCGGAGGGTCGGCTGGGAGGCAAGCCGGCCGCGCTGTGCCTGAGTGACAGGGGACAGTGGCCACTCCCCCCGGAGGTGCCACTCAGCAGCTGGGGCAACGACGCCACCACTGTCATGTCCACACGAACCCGGGAGCCGAGGGCGTGTCTGTGGCCAGAGAGACATGGGGGAGCTTTTCCCACAAGACAAGGTCCGGGCTCCATCCTCTAGTGGAGTGGACGGTGAGAGGGGACCCAAGAGGCTTCCTGGGGACCCCACTCGGGAAGCCTCGGGCCGTGCGACTAGCGTGGGCTCTGCAGCCAGCGGCCTGGGTCCAGCTCTGGCCCAGCTGTGCACTAACCCAGTGACCCGGCCAGGTCCCCACCATCACCACCACCACCACCACCACCATCATCACCACTATCACCACCATCATCACCATCACCACCACCACCACCAGCACCACCATCACCATTGTCATCACCACCACCACCATCATCACCACCACCATCACCACCGCCATCATCATCACCACCACCATCACCACCGCCACCATCATCACCACCACCATCACCACTGCCACCATCATCACCACCACCATCACCACCGCCATCATCATCACCACCACCATCACCACCGCCACCATCATCACCACCACCATCACCACTGCCACCATCATCACCACCACCATCACCACCGCCATCATCATCACCACCACCATCACCACCGCCACCATCATCACCACCACCATCACCACTGCCACCATCATCACCACCACCATCACCACCGCCATCATCATCACCACCACCATCACCACCGCCACCATCATCACCACCACCATCACCACTGCCACCATCATCACCACCACCATCACCACCGCCATCATCATCACCACCACCATCACCACCGCCACCATCATCACCACCACCATCACCACCACCACCATCACCACCATCATCATCACCATCGCCGTCACCATCATCACCCCTGTCCCCAGTCCACAGGTCTCTCCCGAGGGCAGCAGAGGAGGAGCGTATGTACGGCCAGGGGTTTGGCGCCGAGGAGCGGTACCTGGAAGATGCTGGAGAGGTCCCTGAGGTTGAAGATGTAGTGGAACTTGATGGCCGTGGGAAGGAACGTGGCTGTGACCTTCTGGTGCAGGGCTGTGGTGGGGAGAACACCCATCCTCCGTGTCCCACTGGGCTCAGGAAGGGCAAGCCTTAGGGGACAGCTCCCAAGGCAAAGGCACTGCGAGCCAGACAATTTAAGAGCTCCGCAGCGAAGGGGAGGGAGCCTGCTGCCCGGGTGACGTGCATCATTCCTAGCCCCGACCTCTCCCCCCCCCCCGGCCCCCCAATCGGATCTCACAGCATCTCCCGTGGACACAGCATCGTTTAAAGACACTGACTGGAAAGTACAGAAAACATTACCAGGGAAGAGAGACAGCAGCCACCAGCCCCATTAGAGCGCGGTTCTCCCGGCGAGAGGGGCGGCAGGGCTCACCCAGGGCCGAGGCCACCAGCTGCCCGCTCATCCGCTGCACCACCAGGGGGGCCGAGCGGTAGGCCAGGTGCTGGGCCAGGATGGTGTTGTAGATGGTCGTGAGGGCCTCCGGGCCGGGAAAGCTCACAGCGAACACGCAGAAGTGGCCCTGCCGGCACCACCACAGCCCCGCGTCAGGCAGCCTCGGGGCCTGCGCGGCCGCCCGCGTGGGAGCAGTCTGCCCCGCCGCCCAGTGTCTGTGGCCAGAATGCCGTGTGCGCGTGCGTGTGTGTGTGTGCATGTGCATGCGCGCGCGTGTGTGTTTGCGTGTGTGCGCGTGCGTGTTTGTGCGTGTGTGCGTGTGCGTGTGTGCGTTTACGTGACGCTGCTGGTCACCTTCCCCCCAGACTGACAGGCGCCTGGAGCTTCGTTTGCTAACTCTGCCAGCCCCCTGGGGTCCCAGGGCCCCGCTGGCCGGCCTCTTGACGCCCCTGCCCACCCGAACGTCCAGAGAAGGTCAGCCTGCCGTCCCGATGCCCCCCAACAGGGCTTTGATTCTCATCTGCCCACGTGGCCCTCGGGCCCCGGCGGCTGCGCAATGAGTCGGGGCGCCTACCTGGAGTCGGGGGTCGATGGTGAAGGAGCCGGAGGTGGGGTTCATGCAGGCCACGTACTGGCAGTTGTGGATATCCTTCAGCGTCAGCTTCTGCCTGTCGTACCTGCGCGGGCAAGTAGATGAGCTTCTTGGTGCCGGGCGGCCCGTAGTTCCTGCCCGACTTCTTCTCCAGCGGCTTCTCCAGAACCCCTGGGGAGGGAGCGCTGCCACCAGGCGGCCCCGCATCCGGGCACCCGATCGTGGGGCCCAGGGTGTGGCCTAGAGGGGCCTCCACCCCCCGGGTAAAGGAGGGGGTGGTGGGCGTCATGGGTGGGGGGCAAGGGCTGTGGGAACCTTGAGCCCCTCAACCTGTGGCCCCCGCAACTCGGTGGTGACAGGGGCCCCTGTGGGATCCGCCGTGAGCATGGGGAAGGGGGCCTGGTGAACAGCCTGTCCCTACTCTGGGGTGGGGACCAGCGGGTGGGGGTGGGGAATGAAGAAGCAACTGGATAAGGAATGGGGGGATGGACAGCCATGTGGCTGTGTGTCCAGGCTGGATTATGAGGACCGACCTCTGCTCCCCCACTTCTTAACCTCACCCTGTCCCCAGCCTCATCCTGCCCCCAGCCTCACCCTGCCCTGCTCCCCCTGTCCCCTGCTCTCCCTGCCCCGCTCACCCTGCAGCATGGCGGAGGTGGTGTAGAAGTTGAAGGGCACGGCCTGCACCAGGTAGTCGTCCGTGCTCAGGCTCTCCAGCTTGTCGCCCAGCAGCACGGACTTGCCCGAGCCCGCGTTCCCCACCAGCATCACGGGCCACGACTTCTCCATGAGCAGGTCCATGAAGTAGCGGATGCGGATGGTCTCGGTCGTGTGCACCAGGGAGGCCTGGGGAGGGGGGAGGGGGGAGGA